TGGATGGCTTCACTGATCAATCAATTGGCTGTCACTCGTGGGTTGGTAGCAAAAGCGAGGCCAAATCTCTGAGCGCGCAGAGCTCATACCCAAGGCTGGGCCCTGGGGCTTCTGGTTTCGTGGCAGGAACTCACACTGTGACCTTGAGGACTCCCCCCTCACCCACCCTTGAACCCAACAGAGCAGTCAAACCGGGAAATGCTATGCCTGTGGGTAAACTACAGCTCCCAAGAGGTTGCAAAGTAGAAAAACAATGCAGGATTTACAGCTCGATGATTTCTAGGAAGCTGCTTCAACTCTTGCCCTGGTGAAATTTACTCACATTACTATTGTTCTTCTACCCAAATAAATAGATGACTTGGGTATATTAAATCAATCAAGCCAGTTTTTCTTTTGTTTTCTTTTGCACATTACTTGGAGTGAAAATTTGGAGAAAGCACGCCTCACCCATGATTAGTGAATTGTTTTCCTAACACCCATGCCCCTCCCCCCGCCAGCGAATTGCATCAATGGAGTACCAGGAACCATGCCCAGATGACCAGGACACATCACCTGAGGACACTGGAGATGTTACAACGTCTCCAGTAACTGAATGGAAAACAGGAGCTTCATGGGAGAGGTGCACTGCTCTTCTGCAGGCAGGGCACACTCTCTCGGATATGGTGCCATGACATGGAGAAGACAGACCCACTTCATGAGTCAAGCTTACCCCAAGCAAAAAGCCCATGCCGCTGGCCCATGCACACAGGCCCCTTTGGGTAAGACTGGATCTAGTCACCACCCTTGCCATTTCCTGGGAAGCCTTACCCCTGCAACTCTGCAATGTGGCCAGGCACCCCACTGCCCCTCAGCCCCTGCACGTGTTCTCTCTGGTGGGTCTGTTGGCCCGGTGAGAGCTCTGTGGGGAAACGTGAGCTATGGACATTTGGTAGACCAGGCAGAGTGAGCAGACATCCCATGGCACCATCCCACCTGATCACTTTGCTTTCCGAGGCTTGGTGAGCCTCTACCTAATAATGTTAATATTGCTATAATGATATAATAGTTAATATTTATTAACTGCCTGCTTTGACACAGGTACAGTTCTACATATTTTTCCAATATTAGTTTATAGCTTCATCTTGTATTACTCCATTAGAAACACAGTAGGAATTATATGAAGATTACCTGGGAAGAAGATGGGCTACAGGCTACATTCACAGGGCAGGGAAGGGAAGCCGGGATGGCAACTTCAAGGACCCTGGGAGGATTTCTAAAGGAAGAAATCATATGCTGATCTCATATGTTTCCATGACTAGGCTGTTGTAGTCATTGGTCCCAATTTTAGCAGAGCTAAAGAACACAGTATCAATTCCAAAACCATACTATCTTACCAAATGTTTACATAACAGCCGTGATGCATACTCCAAAGGTTTATAAGCAAGAACTAAGAACATTGTTCACAGAGAAACTCCACGCACTGCTGCCCCAGCCCAGGGATTCAGGAAGCTCTTGTGGGCCAGCCCTGAGCCCTGATCACCAGCCCCCAATGTTGTGTGTGTGTGAGTGTTTGTGTGTGTGTGTGTGTGTGTGTTCTGCACTACACAGCTAGAAGGAGCCAGAGAAATCTTGATGGATGTGGTTCTTGAGGTCTTTCTTAGGTTTTTTTCTTCCACCTGTTTCAAAGACTACTTTTTCCCTCATAGCTGTCTTGTAGACACTATCTCTCCTTAAACTGATGCTCCCACTAGCTGATACAAATTTTTCCATGGCTTCATCTAGCTAAAATTCATATTATACGTCCTAAATAAATATACCTGCTCCAGACTTATCTCCCGAGCTTCCAGCCTGGAAATGCAATAGCTGGGTGCCTGTGTCCCTTGGGGTACATACACCACAGTCTGCAGTCTCATCGTGTTCCCTTACAAGGCCTGATCTTCCCTCTCGGGGTCTACCTCAGTGAATTGCACCCATTTTCCAAAGGTAGGAACAGGGATTCAGTGCTTCCCTCCTCCTCTCTGTCTTCCACATTACATCAATGACCAAAGTCTTGTTAATTACACTTCTATGTATCTCTTGAAGCTCTCTCCTTCTTTGATCGGCTTAATCTTTCCTGGTTCCATCTTTCAACATTTCTCCCCTGGTTACTCCCATAGCACCCTTTGAGCTTTTCTGCTCTTTTGGAACTCTCCAAATTACTAGAATGTCACATTTACTAATTTGCACGTCTGCTCACACTCCTGTTTAAAATCCTCCTCTGAGCCCCAGACCCTTCAGAATAAAATTTGACATTCTCAGCCCAACATCCTAGGTCCTTCAAGATCTAGTCTGACACTCTCTGTAGCCTTGGCTTCATCGCACTCCTCTTCCCCTTCCACCTTCAGTTACTCTGATAGAAATTCACTGGCCCAAGCACACCTTGCTTTGCCCTACTCTCCTGCTTTGAAGCTCCCTGACTAGAGAGTTAAACTCTGGCTAAGCTCTGTTCACCCTTCAAGACTCACTTCCTCTCTCTTCACATTTACCTTGGCTATCCCTAGAAGATATGGTTATGGACGCGATGAGCAATTGAAAGTAATTAGCTAGAGGGAGCACAGAAGGATGGGAAGCAAGTTTTCCCCATGTCTCCTGATTTACTCTGGCCTCTGACTACCTGCAATGGGCTGCAGGGAAACACAGGCAAAAGAAACAGTGTGTTCTCAAAGGCCTATCCAGAAATGTCAGAAGTGGTGTTAAGCACACAGAGTTGTGTAAGCTGGATATTGGCAAACTGTAGAATTCCATTATTGTTCTTCTAAATATGGGAGAAAAATAAATATCGTTCCTTCTGTGGCTATTTCATGAAACTCTCTCATATAATTCCTTACATGCCATCTTTCATTCATCTAAGCATGTAATAGTCCCTTGTTATCCCTGGTTTCACTTTCCATGGTTTCAGTTATCTGCCATCAACCATGGCCTGAACATATTAAATAGAAAATTCCAGAAATAATCTATAAGTTTGAAATTGCACACCATTTTGAGTATTGTTTTAATTGTTCAACTTTATTATTAGTTACTCTTAACTTCTTACTATGCCTGATTGATAAATTCATCTTTATCGTACATATATATGAATAGGAAGAAACATGGTGTATGTAGGGCTCAGTATCCTCGGGAGTTTCAGGCACCCATAGGGGTGTTGGAAGGTGTCCCCCTGGATGAGTGGAATCTCCTATATGGCTACCACCGTACTGCTGCAGACCAAGCACTAAGACAGAAGCTTGGGAACTATAGGCAAGTATGATCTAATCCTACTCTTCAAGGATCTCCTGGAATTACCATCACCCTGACACTCCCAAACACACCAGTAAACTGAGTCAGACAACAGACGTACTTCCAGAACGGCGTCCAAAGCAGTTCTGAAAATATGCTCCTCCATGAATGCAGCAAGAACACTTGGGAAATTTCCAACATTGATTTATTTAGGACTCTGGAAATTAACATAGGCATGAAACAATCTTATGAGTGTTTACTCAAGAAAAACACCTGAATTTTTGTAAGAAAAGCAAGCTTTGTGTATTTTAACTTGTTCTGTTACCATCCCCTGTCCCTACCTCCACAGTAAGCTGAACACCAGCAGCCTCAACAACAAAGGCTGGAGGCAGAGGCGGAGAATAGAATCTCCAGTTCCCCACATTATGTTATTTTTAATGTGTAGCTTTCCACAATAAACATTACAAGATACATAGAGGAAAAGGAATTATGGGCTATATACACCAGGAAACAATGTGATCACTAGAAACTGACATGGAGGAAGTGCAAACATTAAACTTTTAAGACAAGCAGTTTAAATCAGCTCTTATAAATATGCTAAATGGGTACCAAAAAATGGAATCATTAAGACCTACTATTTGATAGCACAACAGGGTGACTATAGTCAGTAATAACTCAATTGAATATTTTAAAAGAACTCAAAAAATGTAATTAGATTGCTTGTAACTCAAAGGATAAATGCTTGATGGAATGGATGCCCCATTCTTCATGATGTGCTTATTTCACGCTCTGTGCCTGTATCAAAACATCTCATTACCCTATCAATATACACACCTACTATGTACCCACAAAAATGTCAAAAAAATAAGAAATTGAAAACAAATATGCTCAAAGAACTAAAGAAAATCATGTCTAAAGAATTTTTTAAAGTATGAGAATAATGCTCCATCAAATGGAGACTACTACTAAGAAATAGAGGTTATAAAAAGAACAAAATAAAAATTCTGAACTTGAAAACTATAAGAACTGAAAGGCAAAATATAAGGACTCAACAACAGATTTTAACTGACAGAAGAAAGTAAGAGCAAACTTGAAGAAAAACTGAGTTTATTTTGTTCTGAAGAGTATTAAGAAAAATGAACAGAGCCTCAAAGATCTGTGGGACACCATTAAGCATATCAACATACACATGAGTGGGAGTCCCAGAGAAAAGAAAAGGGGAGACAGTAAGGCACAGAAAGAATATTTGAAAAATAATGGTGAAAACTCTCCAAAGGTAGTGAAAATAGTAACGTGCATGTCTGAAATGTTCAACAGAATCCCAGTAAGATAAATTCAAAAGACCTGTACCTAGACACATCATAATCACGTTGTCAAAAGTCAGAGTCAAACAGAAAATCCTGAAAGTATCAGAAGAGACGTGATTGAATATATAGTTATCCTTAATGCAATAACAGCTGAATTCTCAAAAACCACGCAAGCCAGAGGAAGTGGAATGACATACTTAAAGTGCTGAAGAAAAAGACTGTCAACCAGGAACTGTGTTTCCAGCAAAACCATTAGTTAAAAACAAAGAAGAAACTAAGATATTCCCAGTTTTTTAAAAAGCTAATAGAATTTGTTGCTAACAGATCTGTCTCACAAGAAATACTTGGGGGAGTTCTTTAGGGAGAAATGAAAGGATATTCACATGAAGAGGAAATTTATAGGAAAAAATAATTTAGCACTGATAAAAGAAAATGTAAAAGACAGTATAAACATACTTACATAATAACTCTTTTCATCTCCTGTCTTGCAGATAACTACAAAAAATAGTAATTATTAATTAGGATTGATTGGTTAATAATAATCACATGATGATACTAGCCTAAAGAAAGGAAGAATAAATACCATTGGGACAAAATGTATTAAACTTACTGAAATTAAGCTATATTATTCTAATCTAGATGTTTTAAGTTAAGATGTTAATTTGAATCTCCAGAGGAGCAACCATTAATAAAATAACTAAATACACATTACATATACACATAGATACATAAATACATACATAGATATATATGTGTGTATATATATATGTATATATATACACATATATATATACACAAAAACAACAAGCAATTAAATGGTAGACTAGAAAACTCTGTTTAACACAAAAGGAGGTAGTAATGAAAGAATAAACAAAAATTTGATATAAAAGAACAAAAAAGTGAAATGGAATATAAATTCTACCAAAACAATAATTATGTTAATATAAATAAAGTAAATACCCCCCAACAAAAAGCAGATACTGGCAGATAGGTTAAGAAAACAAACAAATGAAAACGTGGTCTCACTATATATTATATAAAAGAGATAGGCTTTAGCTTCATACACTAAAATGAAAAAAAGAGATACCACGCAAACAGTAACAAACGGAAAGGCTAGGCTAGATTACTATCAGATAAAATCTGGTTTAAGACAAAAATTATTACTAGAGACAAAAATGAATATTTTACAATAATAACACAGTCAATCCATCTGTTAGATATAATAACTATAAACATGCATCTAACAACAGATCCTCAAGAAATGTGAAGAAAAGACACGTTTGTTAGGAGAAATAGACAATCAACAATAATATTGGAGACTTCAACACTTCACTTTTAATAACATAGAGAATAAAATAGATAGAAGATCATTGAAGAAACAGACTTGAATAACACTATAAACCAACTGGTCCTAACAGGTATTCATAGAACATTCCCCTGAACGGCAGCAGAAAACCGTTCTCTCCAGTGCACAGAGCACACGCTCCAGAATAAACTGTGTTTCAGGAAATAAGCCTCAATCAATTCAAAACTTTTGAAATTATAAAAAGTATGTTCTCTAACTGCAAAAGAATAAAATTAGAAATCAGTAACAAAAGGAAATATGGTTAAATCAAAAATAGATGAAAATTAAATGACACATTTTAAAATCGTTAAAATAACAAATGGTGCTGGGATAATTGGCTAGCCCCATGTAGAAAATGAAACTGGATCCTCATCTCTACCGTATACAAAAATCAACTCAAAATGGATTAAGGACTTAAATCTAAGACCTGAAACTATAAAAATTCTACAAGAAAACATTGGAAAAACCCTTCTAGACATTGTCTTAGGCAAGGACTTCATGACCAAGAACCCAAAAGCAAAGGCAACAAAAGCAAAAATAAACAGATAATTAAACTAAAGATCTTTTGCACAGCAAAAGGAACAGTCAGCAGAGTAAACAGACAACCCACAGAGTTGGAGAAAATCTTCACAATCTATACATCTGACAGAGGACTAACATCCAGAATCTACAACCAACTCAAACAAATCATCAAGAAAACAAACGATCCCATCAAAAAGTGGGCAAAGGGCATGGATAGACAATTCTCAAAAGAAGATATACAAATAGCCAACAAACATGAAAAAACGCTCAGCATTACTAATGATCAGGGAAATGCGAGTCAAAACCACAATGCAATACCACCTTAGTCCTACAAGAATGGCCATAATCAAAAAAATCAAACAATGGTAGATGTTGGCATGGATCCAGTAATTAGGGAACTCTTCTACACATCTGGTAGAAATGTAAAAAATTACAGCCACTGTGGAAACAGTGTGAAGAGTTCTTAAAAACTAAAAGTAGGACTACCATTTGATCCAACCATCCCACTACTGGGTATCTATCCAGAGGAAAATAAGTTGTTATATGAAAAAGATACTTGCACACACGTTTATAGCAGCACAATTCACAATTGCAAAATCGTGGAACCAATGCAAATGCCCATCAATCAACGAGTGGACAAAGAAACTGTGATGGATGGATGGATGGATAGATAGATAGATAGATAGATAGATAGATAGATAGATAGATAGATAGATAAATGTCTCACATATATATATCACATATATCATATTACATATATATATCAGATATATATATATGATGCAATATATATATGAGATGGAATACTATGCAGCCATAAAAAGGAATGAATTAATGGCATTTGCAGTGACCTAGATGAGACTGGAGACTATTATTCTAAGTGAAGTAACTCAGGAATGGAAAACCAAACACCATATGTTCTCACTGACATGTGGGAGCTAAGCTATGAGGAAACAAAGGCATAAGAATGATACAATGGACTTTGGGGACTTGCGGGGAAGGGTGGGAGGAAGCGAGAGAGAAAATACTACAAGTATGGTGCAGAATATACTGCTCAGGTGATGGCTGCACCAAAATCTCCCAAATCACCACTAAAGAGCTTACTCATGTAACCAAACACCACCTGTACCCCAATAACCTATGGAAATGTTTTTAAAAATTAATTTAATTTAATTTTAAAAAGAAATGGCAAATAATCACATGAAAAAATGCTCTTCAGCATCTGGTCATTAGGAAACTCAAGTCAAAATCATGATAAGATATGAGTTCGCACTATCTTTTTAGCTATCTTTTTTTACTTTAGGATAGCTAAAATTAAAAAGATGAAAGGTTTGTGAAGACCTGAAGAAAATGGAAGTCTCATACATTGCTGGTGGGTGTAAAACGGAACAACCACTTTGGAAAATAGTTTGACGGCTCCTCAAAATCTTAAATATATACTTCATATGACTGAGAAATTTCCTTCTTGGTTTTCAAGATAATTAAAAGCATATGTCCAGACTAAAACTTGTGTATCAAGAAGTCCACCATGTGAGAGTTTAATCCAACCACTTTCCTTGTCTGCTTACTCTGTATACTACGTGGTTAGTCCTATCACCACACTCACCTGTTTCCACCTCCTCTTCTACTTCCAGTGAAATCCGTGGATGTCACTGCAGCCCTGGTTACCTGACAGTTCACATCTGTGATCAACCCGTCTTCTCACTGCAAAGCCAAGGTTTACACAGTAGAGCTCCCCACACACACACAAGATTACATGTGCCACCTGCACAGTGACAAATGGGGTTTAAACACGTGATTGGAGTCAGAGCGTTGGCTTTGGCCACCTCATATGAGTGCTTGAATTGGAAGTTTTAAGCAAGGCCATGTCACCTTTACTTAGTGTTCAACATTCAAACAATAAGCAGGTCTATTTTTCACTTGTGGGAGTGCAGATGGGAATAATAACATAGCCACGTTAGTTATGTGGGCATTTGTAAGTGAGAAAACTACTTCAGAAAGAACAGGTCTATTAAATGGCAACAGATTAGACTTGGGAGGTCTTTCTGGCCTGAGAATGAGAACATTATATAACTTGAAAGGGCATACATTTGCCCAGAAATTCATATAGTACAGATAAACCAGAAGCTGGAAATTGGTAAACATAGCAGTGCTTTTTGCAAATAACCTGGCAATACACTAAGATCTAAAAATAGAAATATGCGGAACAAGAGCCCAGCACAGAAGCATCTCCGATCCTTCTCTGTCTCCCTGAACCACTGCTATTGTCTCAGCCCAGTCCTTCACTAGCCCTCTCCTGGACTGTGAAAATTGCTTCTTAATTGTTTTTCTGACTACTTTTGAAGCCCCTTGAGCTGATCTTCTACACAGGCTGTCAAGATAATGTCTAAACGGAATCGCGTCCATAATCCACAAGATTCAAGTTACATGACACAGGGAGCTCTTTCTCTTGTCATCCTTCCTACCGTCACCTCGCGATGCTGTCTGGATGAAATCCCTTGCAGCTCTGTTGCAAGTCATTCACTAATTTAGCACTAACAGGTACCCTCCTAGAGGCCTGATTTCATTTCACAAATTTAATCTTTCCAACCGAACTGCCCCACTTAACAGGCGAAGACATGAGATAAATTGTCAACGTCACCTGGATGGAAAGGGTGAGGCAGTCCAGATCCTCCAGTGTGCACACCACACCCAAGTCCCTTCACTGCTTTATTGCTGGATCACCTGTGCTCTTTGGGGTCCTGCATGCCTTCACTCACACGTGTTTCTCTCTCTGACATGTTTGCATTCCTTCTCTGCCTGGTAAACTTCTCTCAAGGCCCAGGTCAAGTGCCAGCTCTGCTGTGAAGGCTCCATGACTCCCCAGAAGCTGCTCCCCCGACATCCCTCCCTGGCCTTCCCGTATGATGTCCCTGCGCTGCTTCTCGCATCACTGCAGTGTATCCTTTTCATCGTGGTGTGACATGCGGTAGAAACACAATAATTTCTATTTTTGCTTTTTAAAACTTTGCCATTTTTATTGCATTAAAACACATGTAACATAAACTTTACCATCTTAGCCAAATGAAGGGCACAGTTCAGTAATATTAAGTGTATTCATAATGTTGTGAAGCCATCATCACCACCCACCTGCGTAACTTTTCATCCTGTAAAACTGAGACTCTGTACCCGATAAACACGAACTCCCCATTTCTTTCTCCTCCCTGCTTTTGGAAACCGCCATTCTATTTTCTGTCCCTTATGAATTTGACTACTCTAGAGAGCTCATATAAGTGGAATTGCACAGTATTTGCCATTTTGTGATTGGCTTATTTCTCTTAGCGTAATGTCAAGATTAATCCACGTGGATTATGACTCAGAATTCCCTTCCTTTAGGGCCAAATCATTTGTATACACCACGTTTTGTTTATAGAGTCATCTGTTAATGGACACCGGGGTTGTTTTCATTTTAGCTATCGTAAGTAAGGCAGCTATGCACACGGCATGCAAATGTCTCTTGGATATGCCGCTTTAATTATTTTGGGTATGTACCCAGAAGTGGAATTATTGGATCACAAGGTAATTCTATCTTTTAAGTTTTTGAGATACTATCATGTTGTTTTAGTGGCTGTAACATGTTACATTCCCGCAGGGTATACAAGGGTTCCAGTTTCTTCACTTCCTCACCCACACTTGTTACTTTCTGATTTTTGATACCAGCCATCCTCGTGGATGTGAGGTGGCCTCTCACTTTGGTTCACACTCCCCTAATGACTAGTAATGTTGAGTATCTTTGCATGTGTTGATAGACCCTTTGCATGTCTTCTTTAGATAAATGTCCATTCAAGTCCTTCAATCCATTTTTAATAGGGTTGTTTATTGTTGTTAAGTTTTAGGAATTCTCTATCTATTCTAGATATTAATCTCCTATCAAATGTATGACTTTCAATTATTTTTACCCATTCTTTGGATTGTCCTTTTACTCTGTTAATATTATCTTTTTTTTTTTTTTTTTTTTGAGACTGAGTTTCGCTCTTGTTACCCAGGCTGGAGTGCAATGGTGCAATCTTGGCTCACCGCAACCTCCGCCTCCTGGGTTCAGGCAATTCTCCTGCCTCAGCCTCCTGAGGAGCTGGGATTACAGGCATGCACCACCATGCCCAGCTAATTTTTTTTTTGTATTTTTAGTAGAGATGGGGTTTCACCATGTTGACCAGGATGGTCTCCATCTCTTGCCCTCGTGATCCACCCGCCTCGGCCTCTTAAAGTGCTGGAATACTATCTTTTTATGCAGAAGTGTTTTCATTTTGACCAAGTCCAATTTGTCCACAATTGATAGTTACAGAATAACAGTTACAAAGATAACACAAATTTTCTATTTAACTCCTGCATTTATCTTTTGTGTTCTGAACAGATCTGGCATTGTCATTAGAATCCATATTCTGCCTTCCTGAAGCTTTAGGTTGAGGATGACCCTGTGCCAAGAGGCAGTCATGGGGGATGGGGTACAGTAGGACAGCATCAGCACCCCAGTAAACCCCAGAATGTGCAAGTCTAGGTACGCTCTGACAAGGAAGAAAAGGAAACCTGGGTTAAGGGCTCCAACCAACATTCCTGGGCAGGGGGGATCTTTACTTACTTACTTACTTACTTATTTATTTTACAGAATTTTGTTCTTATCACCCAGGCTGGAGTGCAATGGTGTCATCACAGCTCACTGCCACCTCCACCTCCCAGGTTCAAGTGATTCTCCTGCCTCAGCATCCCAATTAGCTGGGATTACAGGCACCTGCCACCATGCCTAGCTAATTTTTTATTTTTATTTTTTGTATTTTTAGTAGAGACGGAGTTTCACCAGGTTGGCCAGGCTGGTCTCGAATTCCTGACCTTAGGTGATCCACTCACCTCGGCCTCCTGAAGTGCTGGGATTACAGGCATAAACTGCTGCACCTGGCCAAATTTAAATTCTTTAGAGTATACATGTAAAATATTTTAGCACATTTAGAAAATACAGAAAAGATTTCGCAAAAAATAAAATAAAAAGATCACTTAAAACTCATGACCTGGATATAATTGCTGTTAAGTGCCAGTGAAATTTCTCCCAGGGTTTTTTGCTTGTTTGTTTTCCTCTTCTCTGTGTATTGTAAGGGATGTGGTTTTCCGCTAGGCTACTGTTTCAAAGAAAAATTTCTGGAGGTGATTTTTCTCCTTGGGGACACTTAGCAATGGCTGGAAACACTTTTGGTTGTCAAAGGTACTGCTGGCATCTAGTGGGTAGGGACCAGAGAAGCTACTAAACATCCTACAATACCAAGGACACACAAACACACACACACACACTCAGAGTAAAGAATTATGTCCACAAAATGTCAACAGTGCCAAGTTTTGGAAGTTCCACTCTGCAGCTGCATCATCTGGCAGACTTGTTAAAACACGGGTTGCCAGGCCCACTCTCAGAATTTCTGATTCCACTGGTCTGAGTGGGACCAGAGAATCTGCATTTCCAACAAGCTTCCCAGTGACACCCCCACTTCCAGAATTAGGGAGAGCCTAGGAGGACCACACCTCCACCTTTCTCTAGCTCCCCACTCACCCTCCCAAAGAGGCGAGGATGAGCTGCCCCATGGGGTGGCATCCGATGACTACCCTTCCCCACTTACTGGAGGCCCTGCGCTCAAATCCACCTCTCTCTTTCCCGCTGGAGAGGATCCCGGCTGAGAGGCATCTGCTCTCTTTAAGCCCAGAAGGCACAGGGGCTCCCTTCTTCAAAGGTGCCGATTCCTGCCTCGACCTGGGTGAGAAGGGAGAGAAACGCACCTAGTCCCAGAAGCCGGTTCACGCTCTGTTCCACCCAGTGCTAACACAGTAATTTCATTTTTCACCCCTTCTCATGTTGGTCAATTTCTCATTCATTTCTGAATTTAGAGGAAAAGGGCCTTTGGCTTATGGGTCTCTTTAAGCTTCACCACAAGGGGGTTTGACTGAAAATTGAAAAGGAGACGTGTCCTTGCAGCTAGCCACATACAGGAAGTGGAAGGTCTCAGTGGTGGCCAAGGAAGGAGAGTGGCTGTGGGGGCTGTGGACTTTTGCTTACCATTTGGGGACCCAGCAGCCTGTTGTGTCCAGCAGCCTTAGGTACCCAGTGTGCCGTTAATAGGCCCCTGGCTGTTTTTAAAAGGTACAAACTTTAGTCAACTCTGGACAAGCAATGCCAACCGCTGTCTTGGACCTAAGCCTGTGAGGTGAGACGAAAACGAGATGAAAGGTTTGTCTCAAAACAGACCACAGACTTTTGAGTCATTGCCGTGGAACGATTTTTGCTCTGTTTAACATGTATTTTCAGCCAGGACTGCAGAAGGGGGCCTTAAAGAGCCTCAGTGGTTCCTTTCAGGAGGGCTGCAGAGACCCCACCACTGAGGTTCCTGCCTTTAAATTGTGAATGCCAACCAGTCCGTTGCATTCCTCAGACATCTTACTGGTCTTCATCTCATTTCAAACTGCTTCGCAGCTGGGCTTTCAAGGATGCAGGACAGTCACCCTCTAGTGCCTGGGGTTTGTCCTCAGAAAAATTTGAAAAAAAAAAAAGGCATACAGCCCCTGAGGACTCCACTGTTGAAGTGTTTGTTAAAAATAAACAAACTATAAGCCTGAAGCCTGTCCTTGGATTTCAAGGACTCAGACAGTGAGCTCAGCCATGCAGGAATGATCAATGTTATCAAGGGGCAGATAACGACAAGGGGCCAATTACACAATTATAGGGGAATCTGCTTCTTTCTCTAGGGCGTGGCTGTTTACCCAGCTAAAGGCTGGGTAAACAGGGTATGGGTCACACATTTTCTCTAGGAATCCTGCTTCCTCAGGAGATCAGTGAGAGGCTGGATTGGCTGTGAATCTAGATTTTGTCATTAGCGTCAGAATAGGGGCAGTTGCAGACAAAAGGAGAAGCCCCAATTATACTGGAGAAAAAAGCGGCTCCTTTAGAAGGATGTGAATTTCTTTTTTTGAAAGGAAAGAAGAAAAGAAAGAGAAAAAAGGAGTGAAGGAGAGGAAGAAAGAGGAAGAAAAAGAGGGAGAGAGAACAGGAATATTGCTTTATTCTAAAAATGGGTATTAATAATCCTTAGAAGGATGTGAATTTCAAGGCAGCCTCCAGTCACGTAGAAAAGGGGCACGCAGGGGCGCTTCACCCCACCTGCTTCTGCTGTTTCAGGACGACCGAGGAACAAAATGCAGTTACCATGACGTCCTCAGCATCACTGCTGCCTACAGAAATCCACCCAGAGGGCGCAGTGGCAGCCTGGCAGCGGCTCCTCTCCAAATGAGAAAGCAGAGGTCACGGGATTGATTTGGACAGCAAATGTTTTTGGTACACCTAGAAATTGTTGATTTCACATTTTTCATTTTGGGGGATCCATAACATGAAACCTAGAAGAAAAACAAAAGTCTAGGCCTAAAGGCAAAAGGAGAGTTTAAAAGAAAAACAGCACTGCAATAAAATGACAGCAGCCCCACAGGGGAATGGGGTCACCTTAACAAGCAGATGACCATGGTGGACTCCTGGCAAGGCCGCCTGAAGAAACGAAGGGGACAGGGACACGTGATACGGAGGGTAGATCCTGAGGGGACAAGGACAGGTGATACAGAGGGCAGATCCGGACGGGACAGGGACACGTGATATGTAGGGCAGATCCAGAGGGGACAGAGACACATGATGTAGAGGTCAGATCTGGGGGGACAGGGACGCGTGATGTGACAGGGAAATCCTGGCACCAGGCTTCAAGGCAGCCATGCTGAGAAAGAGTTTAAGTGACTCAAATGGATGCTAAAGGCCTCACCCCACGAAGGCACCGAGGCGAGGCTGCAGTTTTATAGGGTGAGGAGGAGGGGCCTTATGGTTTGGCTCAGAGATCAAAGCTGGATGGGTGGGGGAAGGAAAATAGATTAGACTTTCCTGGAAATGACCTCATTGCCTGAGCCTTATAGTTGTGAAGGAAAATCTAGAAATCTCAGGATTCCCAAACTTATATCTGGAGGCTGAGTCATGCAACACCCCCTTCCAAATGAATAGCTGTGACCAGTGCTGTGCATCAGCCAGGTCCTCATGGAAAAGTGAAGGGCCTCGGGCATCTGCACAGGGCTGTCCCCACAGAACATTCATGAATCAATTCTTTGCCTTCCCATAAGCAAGGATGCGCCAATTGTAATGTTAGGCCTGCAATCGAAGGCTCGCTCCCATAACTAAAGTCTCATCCACACTAATGTCAATAACAAGCTTCTCTTTCCAGGTGCAGAACCAAGTCTAGATGAGATCAGCCCTTCCTCTCCTCATTCCTTCATGCATCCACCTTATCCATGTAAAAGGTAGATTTACCAGGCACTGGCTAACGTCTCACAGGAATGTAACCATTCGCCTTACCACCTGCTGGCCCCTCTCCCTATATGCCTTCCCCTCTTTATGGAAACGTGTAAATATGAAACCTCCTGAAAACCTCTTTGGAAAAACAGCCACGCATGCATCTGTGGCTCATGTTATCCCCAGTGCACACTGAAGCTGGATGAATAAGACTTGATGATTGAGGCCTTTGCCTCACTCATTTTATAACCAGTTCTTCCATGCCATGGCCTCCCCTACATGGTCCTTTTTGCATATGGCCAAGGGTTGGGGAAGAAAATTGGGTTTCTGTTGGATCTGAGATTCAAGTTTCTGAATGGACACAATTCGACTAGGCCCTTAGTAACTGAGGGGGCCTACAAATGAGGAGCCTCTGCCTGGGATGAGAAGGGGTGTGTGGAGTTACAGCAGTGGTCTCTCGGGCTGGGAGGGCCGACGGTCTTCATTCTATTGTCTCATCAGGCTTCTCTGTCCAAAATGCCTATGATCTGGAGCTGGAGTTCTGAAATGCTTTTCCTAGGACATCTTGGGCTGGCTATAAAACAAAGAGGTTGAGAAGGGCAAGCTGGAAAAGTGCTGGAAAGAGGAGCTCATAAAAGTAGTGTTTCATGCTGGGACAGAATGTGTAATATATTGGTGGTCATGCAATGAAGGTCCGTCTGAACAGGAGCTGGGGAGACTGGGGAGGGTAAGGCGCACCTGGGAAAAGGCTGATGACCCCGGTCCCAGCAACTGAGCCAGAGAGCAGCGAAGAGCAGAGAGAGCCAAGAGAGTCACAAGAGAGGCTGGAGACAAACCCCTCTGTGAGGCCCGAGGGCCTCATAAAGGCTGCCGGACACTGAATGTGTCGACATGGAGTTGTCCTGGATCATGACCTACTCAAACTTTTGGTTCTGAGACAGTGGAAGTCAAATTAGTGTGAAAATTATTTTATTTAAATAAGCAAGGAACATGAGTCTTGAATGTTGGATAGAAAATTCCCCTAGACCTTAATGGAGCCTGAAAGAAGATGTAGGAAATTTCCAAAATCCTTAGTAAGTGTACTCGAGTGACCTTAAGGGATGCCAGAATCTGTGAAACAGGAAGAAAGGGTCTTTGCATAATCCCGGAAGAATCCAGAAAATTACACGGGGAAGCCAGGAAGTCACCACTGTTCATAACAGGCCATGTATATGTGGAGTGTCCGAAACTGGTCAGACATCTCCAAAGAACCATCATGGACATGGGGTTCTCAAAAGGGATATGGTGTCCAAAAAGCAAGCAGCAGAGAGAGCTTGCTGGGAACAAGATGGAAACAGAGGAAGATTGTTTGTAATGTACAGTGTGAAGCTTGAAGAGGGAATAAATCATTGGAGGAAGTATGATGTATGAAAATAAAGGAAAAAAAAAGACTTGAAGGGCAAAGAGAAATGTATTTTGGAAATCCCCTGAAGGTTCAAGGGCTGAAGGGCTTGTATATTACAAACAGGCACTGAGCTCCACCCAAAAATATTGGGGCCAGGATCCACCATCAGGGATTATAACCATAACACCCTGCCCATTGATTTGGCATAGGAAGGGGAGGTGCTCAGTGTGTATATACATATATAGAGAGAGAGGGAGAGAGAGAGAGGAGAGAGTAAGAGAGAGAGAGAGAGGGAGTATATACATATATATATATATATATATATATATATATATATATATATATGTATTTTTTTTTTTTTTTGAGACGGAATCTCACTTAGTCATGCCCAGGCTGGAGTGTAGAGGTGCAATCTTGGCTCACTGCAACCTCTGCCTCCTAGGTCCTGGTTTAAGGAGTTCTCCTGTCTCAGCCTCTGGAGTAGCTGGGATTACAGGCATGTGCCACTATGCCCAGCTAATTTTTGTATTTTTAGTAGAGACAGGGTTTCATCATGTTGGCCAGGCTGATCTTGAACTCCTGACCTCATGATCTGCCTGCCTCAGCCTCCCAAAGTGCTGGGATTACAGACGTGAACCACGGCGCCCAGCCTCAGTGTATATTTTAAGTTTACTCAAAGTTTAAATGATAGAGATATTTTTGGTTGATAGAGACACATTTTACTCCTTAGTATCATAGCTACCTCCTCCCAGAGCCTCACACTCTGGCAGCAAAGGCCGAATGACACTGCACTGTGAGTCATTAATGTTCATGAGGGAATCTTCTCTAGGATGAAATTGGCAGAGTTCAGACTTACAAATGTTTTTATTTTATTTTATTTTTTTATTGCATTTTAGGTTTTGGGGTACATGTGCAGAACATGCAAGATAGTTGCATAGGTACACACATGGCAGTGTGTTCTGCACGAATGTTTTTAAAAATGTTAATCTTCATAATTTTTCTGTCTTTATTGTGGAGATGGAGACGCAACCATCCGTTATCCAGCACATGAATCCAAACACCTTTATTAGCTTTACCCTTCTTCCCCATCACAATCTCCCTTTTAGAGTTGCCAAACTCTACAGGTCCTGGATGCAAAGAGTATAGTGACAGCCACAATTTACAGAGTCTACTGATTATGTGCCAGTACTCACCGTTCAGACGTTTAATTATATGAGGTAGGTACAAGTCCCCCATTTTACAGGTGAGAAAACTTTGTCTTCTTGTCCAAAATACTAAGCTAATGCATGTTTCCTTACTTGAAACTATTAGGTTGGTGCAAAAGCAATTACTCTTGCACCAGCTGAGTATCATTCTCTCTTATTTTTTACATGTTTCTAAAATGCATTGTCACAGAAACTCTTCCAATTGTAATATAAATAAGATGAAATAAATCTCTTTCATTTGAGTTATAGTCAGAGCCCTTGAATGGGTTATAAGAGACATCAGGCAGGCGCGGTGGCTCACGCCTGTAATCCCAGCACTTTGGGAGGCCGAGGCGGGTGGATCACGAGGTGAAGAGATCGAGATCATCCTGGTCAACATGGTGAAACCCCATCTCTACTAAAAATACAAAAAAATACAAAAACTTAGCTGGGCACAGTGGCGTGTACCTGTAATCCCAGCTACTCGGGAGGCTGAGGCAGGAGAATGCCTGATCCCAGGAGGCGGAGGTTGCGGTGAGCTGAGATCGCGCCATTGCACTCCAGCCTGGGTAACAAGAGTGAAACTCCGTCTCAAAAAAACAAAAGAGAGATAGACATCAACCCTAGGGAAAAAATTGATACTGTCCATCTGTTAAATCACCTTCTTGAGTGCACCTTACCTCCCTCCTCCATTGTCCCTAGTGTGAGCCCCTTGTGGGAGGAGAAAACACCTTTAGAAAACAGTTGTTTTCTCCTCCCACAAGAAGCCTTTCATACTCACTGAAAAAGTGATAACATTTTCTGCAGATCTGCTTATTTGCAAACAATGTCTTTCCAAATCATTACTGGAGTAAGTGTAGTTGTTTCCTTCAGAGTCAAACAATAAAGCTATATGATATATTTGTGGAAAGCATTTCATTTAAAAGAGAAACAAAGAAAAACATTCGGATAATCCTCATGGAAAAGGCTCATTTCTAGACTATCCAGCATTGCGTTTATCCTCCAGTGGTTTATGCGGGTGGCACAAAAAATCTTTGAGGCAGAAAAACTGCTACAGAGAAACCTCCTTTGTATCCTGCTAGGCATTCCGTCTGGCTGGACTACCATAGCTGGAACCTGCTTTCAGCTATAAAATTTTGGAAAGCACACTTCCACTTGCTTGGTTCTTTTTCTTTTTTTTTTCTTTCTTTTTTTTTTTTGTAGGAGTCTATCCTAACTCTCAAACTATACAACTATTTATGGAAAGGTGACCATCTGATAAGTTTGTTGAAATCTCATTCCCCATCACATCTCCTGCTCAGTGCTCACCCTCAGGTCTTGAAAGTGCAAACCCTCAGTCATTCTTGAATGAAAGAATGAACAAAAGCAGAAGAAAAGAGAGGATCAGCACCTGCAAGACTGTACTTTATCGTGAGGTTATCTATTCATCCTTTTGGTTGTATTAAGAATTGTATTAGTCTGTTCTCACACTGCTATGAAGAAATACCCGAAGCTGGGTAATTTAAAAAGAAAAGAGGTTTAATTGGCTCACAGTTCTTTATGGCTAGGGAGGCCTCAGGACGCTTATAATCATGGCAGAAGGCACCTCTTCGAGGGCGGCAGGAAAGTCAAAATAAGAACCCAGGAAAGGAGGGGTCCCCTTATAAAACCATCAGATAATAGGAGAACTCACTCACTATCATAAGAATAGCATGGGGAAAAATGCCCCACAATTCAATTACCTCCCACTGGGTCCCTCCCACAACATGTGAGGATTATGGGAACTAATTCAAGATAAGACACTGGTGAGGACACAGCCAAACCATATTATTCTTCCCCTGGTCCCTCCCAAATCTCAGGTTCTCACATTTCAAAACAAATTATACCCTTCCAACAGTCTCCCAAACTCTCCACTCATTCCAGCATTATCCCAAAAGTCCAAGTCCAAAGTCTCATTTGAGACAAGGCAAGTCTCTTCTACCTGTAAGCCTGTGAAAGCAAAAGTTAGTTACTTCCTAGATCCAATGGCAGTAGAGGCATCAGGTAAATACACCTGTTCTAAATGGGAGAAACTGGCTGAAACAAAGGCCCCATGCAAGTCCAAAATCCAATAGGGTACTCATTAAACCTTAAAAATTCCAGAATTATCTTCTTTGACTCCATGTCTTACATCCATATCACAGTGATACAAGAGGTGGGCTCCCATGGTCTTGGGCAGCTCTGCTCTTGTGGCTTTGCAAGGTACAGCCCTTCTCCCAGCTGCTTTCACGGCTGGCATTCAGTGCCTGCAGCTTTTCCAGGTACACAGTGCAAGCTGTCAATGGATCTACCATTCTGGGGTCTGGAGGATGGTAGCCCTCTTCTCACAGCTTTACTAGGCAGTGTCCCACTGGGGACTCTGTGTGGGGACTCTGTGTGGGGGCAACCCCACATTTCTTTTCTGTATTGCCCTAACAGAGGTTCTTCATGAGGGCTCCACTACTGCAGCAAACTTCTGCTTGGACCTCCAGGTGTTTCCATTACACCCTCTGAAATCTAGGCAGAGGTTCTCAACCCTCAGTTCTTGACTTCTGTGCACCTGCAGGCCCAACACCACATTAGTCATCAAGGCTTGGGGCTTGCACCCTCTGTCTGAAGCAATGGTCCAAGCTGTATGTTGGCCTCATTTAGCCGCTGCTGGGACTGAAGCAGCTGGGATGCAGGGCACCATGTCCCAAGACTGCAGAGAGTAGGGGGACCCTACTCCTGGCCCACAAAATCAATTTTCCCTCCAAGGCCTCCGGGCCTGTGATTGGAGGGGCCACTGTGAAGGTCTCTGACATGCCCTGGAGACATTTTCCCCATAATTAACATTTGTCTCCTTGTTACTTATGCAAATTTCTGCAGCAGGCTTGCATTTCTCCCCAGAAAATTGGTTTTTCTTTTCTATTGCATCGTCAGGCTACAAATTTTCCAAACTTTTATGTTGTCACCTCTTGAATGCTTTGCTATGATTTCTTCCACCAGATACCCTAAATCCTTCCTTTCAAGTTCAAAGTTCAACTGATCTCTAGGCCAGAGGCAAAATGCTGCCAGTCTCTTTGGCAAAGCATAACAAGGGTCACTTTTGCTCCAGTTACCAGCAAGTTTCTCAGCTTAATCTCAGCCCACCTCAGCCTAAACTTCATTGTTCATAACACTATCAGCATTTTTGTCAAAACCATTCAACCAGCCTTTAGGAAGTTTTAACCTTTTTCACATTTTCCTGTCTTCTTCTCAGCCCTCTACCTCTCTAGAAAGTTCCAAACTTTCCCACATCTTTCTGTCTTCTTCAGAGCCCTCCAAACTGTTCCAACCTCTGCCTGTTACCCAGTTCCACCTTTTTAGGTATCCTTATGGCAGCACCCCACTCCCTCAGTACCAATTTACTGTATTAGTCCATTCTCAAGCTACATATTTCTCATTTTGGGTATGAAGAAATACCGAAGACTGGGTAATTTATAAAGAAAAGGGATTTAATTGACTCACAGTTCTGCATGGCTGGGGCAACCTCAGGAATCTTACAATCATGGCAAAAGGCACTTCTTCACAGGATGGCAGGAGAGATAATGAGAACCCAGTGAAGGAGGAAGCCCCTTACAAAACCATCAGCTCTCATGGGAACTTACCAACACAAGAATAGCATAGGGAAAACCAGCCCTGTGATTCAATTACCTCGCACTGGGTCTCTCCCACCACACATGGAGATTACAGGAACTACAATGCAAGATGAAATTGGTGTCAGGATACAGCCAAACCACATGAAGAATGATATGGTTTGACGTTTACTTTACATTACATTTACTTTAATGATAAAGTTTTACCTTGGTGATTCATCATGGCCCCTACTGGACATAACACTGCAGCTGGCATACAGCTGACTCTCAGCAAACATACATTAATAGTGAGCCATGAACAAAACATTCACAGTCAATGAAAGAGAACTCTTCGTGCCTCTACTTCTACTGTGTGGCACCTGACACAAGCTGCAGAAGGCAAAGCTGAGAAGAGGGTGTCCAATGCCTTTGATCTGCTCCACCACCGCCAGGCTGGGCCCCCATTCTCTCACCACCTTGATTCCTGCAAACCAAGCAAATATCCTGGGTCCAGTCAATTGTGAGCAGATGTCCTGTCTCTGTCTTGTAGTCATCATTCTTCATTTCAGAAGAGCACATTCATCATTCCATAAATGTCTAGGCAGTATCCAGCCTTTGCCAGACCACGTGTGAATCTAGTGATTAGGACAGGCTTTTAATTCTTCTAGGCTTTGGCTTTTTGAGACATAAAACGAGATCATTAGGCTCCATCCTTGTGGTCCATCTGGCTCTTAGTTAAAATAATCCTGATACAACGTAAGGCCTTTCCCCTAGTACTCATGAGTATTTGTGTTTTTAAAAGTGCCCATAAAGTTTAAGGGGTTGGGGAAACAGGGAATTCTTTGCCCCGCATCTCACCAGCTGGATGCCTGTGGCAGTCCCACTGAAGGCACAGGTGGACGTGGAATATTTCCTCTAAGCCTCATATCTGTGGAAACAGGATGGCACTTTTCCAGCTCAACATGGCCAGAGGACACTGGGGAACATCGGCTCACCTCTTGTGCTAGTCTCTTGCAACTGTAAACTGACAGGGATTGTGCTGCATACATATTTGGAAAGGGTGCTGAGGTGGCCTCAAAGGTGCTCTGACAGGGCCATGGTTTCCACAACCGGACTGGTGATTCACGGCAGCCAGGCCTTTCTTCCCTCCTCTCCCCTACCTCTCACTCTCTCCTCGTCTGTCTTCTCTGATTTTTCTCTACTTAACTTTATTCTGTAGAAAAGCTTTTGCATGGGATGGGCAAGGTTGCTGCTAGCAGCCCTAGCATCCCATTATTCCAGGTTAGCAACTCTACCTAATTGTTTTCCAATATCTATATCCATTTATTTAAAAAATATTTATCACACTCCTCTGTTCTGGATGCTTGGACTATGTCAACAAAATAAAGAACAAGGCACAAAACAAAACCAAACGAAACTAACTTTCTGGGAATTAAACACTTGACCAGCTACTTGCTAAGGATGCTAGGATTGGCCGGGCCTGGGTTGTATGCTCATTGCTGAGGTGGGAATTGGAGGGTTGCTGAGATTGACAGCCCAACAAGCACATGAAAATTTGAAAACAACCACAACAACAAAAAGAAAATATATAAATCTACCCAGAGAAGCACCTTCCTCTCTTATCCCCTTCTCTCTCCTGTGGACTCTTCTCCATTCCTTTGTGGGTCAAGATGGCTGGGGGAGACCTATGTTAATGCTAGCTAGATAACTGTAAGTTTGCATGACTTAGAGTACAGTGAAGTTTATACACCAAACTAAACTATATTATTGCTGCAGTTAACTCGAAATCAAGTGGCAACAGGAGGCCTCAGGTAAAGACCAGCCGAGAGCTCAGTAACACCAGGGAACACCTCGGGGCGGTTGCAGAGCAGGGAATACTGCTGTGGTCTCACAAATGCCTTCTCAACATGGAGACTGCATGAGGGCCTCGTAAAGAGGGCTTATGCAACAATCTCTGAGAAGGGAGGCGACCTCTGCTCACAAGATCCAGGAGGGTCTCTGCAGATGGGAGCTGGCAAGGAGGAGAAAAGCCTTGCAGGGCTATCACGGAACACCTCAGGCTCTGCCTAGGTTCTCGGGATATGGAGTGATATTAATTGCTCTACATCCTCAGTGCTGGGGAGATAAAAGCCCCTTGATGCATTGGGTGTGGTCAGACTGGGCAGCTCCTCATCCGCTACACTTCCTATGCAGCCCCACCCTAATAATAATCTGTGATACTCAGAGTACTAATTTAGCATGTTTTAGAAGGATCTCAAGTGCTCCCCCCCACCCACATCTTACCCTCCCCTTCCATGCCCATAAGATCAATGAGGTTATGTACATAATAAAAGTGTTTGGAGCCCAGAGCTTGGGGCCTTCACGGTTCCCATGCTTGCGTTGGTCCCTGGACCGCTGCCGTAAATTCTACTCTTGGGTCTCTGTCTTTATTTCCTTTTCTCAATCCCTCATCACTGCTGGGACTCAGGGCAGCATGTACGGATTTGGGGCTGGTTCCCAACACCCTTGCTGTAGAATTTCCTGTACAATTGTACTCTTACATCCTCCAAGGGCCATGGCTCCTGTGCCATTTCCCTGCCTGTCTTTTCTTATCCCCGACCCTGAATAACTTCAGCAGCCCCCTGAGTGACGTACCCAACACTTGCCTTCAAAACTCCTCTACTTCTAGTCACGTGTAAGCTGCAGTGTAACTCTATCTTTGAACTTGGCTGTGACTCAGAATGACTCTGCTTCACAGACACAAACTTGAAAATCCTGCCCTCTGGCTTCACTCTCCCATCATTTGCATCTATGTTCTTGAAACTCATCAACATTTTTGTCATAGTCCCCTATTTTCAAGAATCTCCTTGGGTTTGTTTTTCAGCCCTACCCAGGCTAAACCAAGGTATGGCTGCAACTCTGCTAGCAGTAGCACCGCATGGCCAGGTCACCCAGCAGTGCCTTGTATACCTGGGCATCGCTGCTCCCATGATTTCTCGGCAATTATAAAGAGAGTCTGGGAAACCCCCTGACCTCTTCTCCAGAGTTTCCTGTTTCACCATTTTCTCCTCTCTCTCTCTTTCTTCGCTCTTGTGGCATCCTGTCTCTTTCAGCGTTGCGTCTTGCTGGCTTTCTTCCCTTACCTTGTTTTCAGAACACGTTTCCCGCAGGGACTTGCTTCTGTTTCTCATATGCTCACCTTCTTTCTTGCTCAGCACTTAGGAAGCATCACCCCTCTCCACTTGCCCAGGCCCGGTATCCCTCTGTTCTCCTGTCTGCCCTGGAAGGGGACTGGGTGTGGTGTGCCCATCAGATGGACTTAAGTGCAAGGGTAATAGCCATTTGTATATTCCCAGTGTGAGAGTCGTTTCTGGCACTTAACAGGCACTCTCCAAAATAAAACTGTGGAGTCGAAGAAAGCTGAATCCTGCCGGGCTGGATTAGATTAAATTGCACTACAGGACATTTCTGCCAGAGTTGGAACGCTTGAGGGCACTCATCAAAGATCAAGTTGGATGGGAAGTGAAGAGATGACCTGGGCGCAGCTTCTGGCAACAGCACAGAGGAAAAATGCAACAACTCAAGTGAGAGCTCACCTGAAATTGCTTCTATTTTTCAAATCCTATCACTTTAGAATCAGAATAATTCAAAGAAATCCAGAAAGTGCCGAGATTGGCTGCAGACAAATCCTCCTACTCCGAAAGAAGTTAACAATTATAACTGGCAAGAGGTGAAATAATGGTAACAAGAAAAAAAATAACTTTTCAGCAAGCTACACTCACTCAAAATGTTTCACAAATGCGTGCACAAAAAAAAGAAATAAACTGAAGTCACTAAGAAAGGAACCCTCAGCTCATGAGCTTGACACCAATTAATTCAGTCCGTCATGTTCTTTCGCCCACCACTGCCTCCCCTTTACCTACAGATTTTTTAGTTTGTCCTTAACGCCTGAAATAGCTGAAAGTCATGGAATTCACAAACTAAATGTACTGCTTCAACTTAAGATGCTCTCATTAAGCATCTACCCTGTATAAGTAGAGCAGGGGCTGTGGAAGATGCAAAGGTGAGCACATCACCACTACCAGGAAAGGGCTTCCAGCTTGCTCTATGGAGTGGTCCCATCTGAAAAAATGAGGGCAAGATTGTGGTGTGCTCTGAGCAATCTTAGAAATAGACCCTCATTTGCCTATCTCAAATTTGAAAAAATTTCATTTGAGACTCACTGTGGGGAAGGAGTCTAATTTGTACTTCACAGAAATCTTTCTCTTTCAAAGAACCTGGGATGAACTGGGATGATGGCAAGAATCGCATTCTTTCTATCAGAGTATGTTCTAACAAGTCCCTGAGAGGAAATGGTATTTTCCAGCAGATAAGCAGCAAATGAAGTGTGCTTCACAGAAGGTCAGGAAAATCTTCAGCATGGGATGTCTCTCAGAAGGGCTGGAGCTGGCATGGCCTTGGGGTAATGAGGGCACGGACATTGCTGGAAAGGATGGGAGAAGAGCGCACAGGGCCACTGAGCCTCCACCAAGGAAAATGTACCGCTCCCAGAGGCCGTTCCTACTGTGTCTGGCAAAAAGTGTTAGCAGCTCTGAAAGAAACTGTAGAGAACATTGTGTCTAATTCTCTGCTTTGCAAACCAGAGAAGTGGCTTGTTGCAGAGTACCCAGAAAGTTAACAGCAGACATCTGGCTAAAATCCCAATTTATGGCTTTCCAGCCAATGCTCCATCCACAGAATCAGCAAAAAACTGCTCAGACACACCTCTCCTCAGCTTTGCAGCGGCTCCACGACAGATCTGCTAGGCCTTGGTAACTTTGATCCTTCCAAAGGAACCAAACTCTCTGAGCCAGAAATTGACACTGAAACTCCCAAATATTGTTTTGATGAATGACTATTAAAAACAAATGTAGAGTTCTTTTCTGGTAAAGAGAGAGTGTACGGTGATGAAGATTACAGTGTAACCCATTAAGTGATATCAGTAAAATTAGTATCAGAACCATGGGGAAAAAATAATATTAATAATAATAAATCATCTAACCAACTCCTTTGAAAATGAGAAACCACTAACGCTGTAGACTGGCTCTTTCACTGTGTGGGTTAGACTGTCAGCTACACCAAGTCCTTTGTGAAATTAACACGTCACCTACCAGCTTAGCATCTCCTTTTGTGTGGTCAGCTCCAGTGACTCCTTGACCCTGCAAATCAAGAAGCACATCTCAAATACTCACGTAGCATTTCCAAATTGCACAGAGAAAATAATCCCAAACTCCTATAGTATATAGAGCAATAATTCATAAAATTCCTTCTTATTTTATTTATAGGCTTTTAGCAGTAAATAGTAAAATATGAAGTAAAAGCTCAGGGTGAGTGGAAATGCAACAGAAAGTCCAGAGAAGAGAGAAATAATATATTGCAGAAATAAAGCCCATTTGAGCCTACGCCACTGGTACAGATGAGCCACTAGATTGGCTCTGAGGCTTCTAGTGGCCAAAGCAAAAACAGAAAGAGAGAAAGAGAGAGAATTAGTTCTTACAATGAATGAGGTACTCTGCATCTGTTTAAAATCTTTCATCAACTCTATTACGGAAAACTGTCCATGTCCCTTATCTTAAATGAGGAAGCAGGTTTAAAGAGTTAAGCTATTTATCTAAACTCAAAAACCTAAGGCAGTTGAAAGCTGGGATTCCAGCCTAGGTCAGCCCAAACTCAAAGCCCACAATTGTGATGCACACAGGAGTGGAGACAGAGCTGCCTCCGGTTATGTCATATTGACAGCAAATAGAATGAGCTGATCGTGTTATATCATATTGAGTGCAAATAGAATGACTTCTTCATTGCAGTGTTCAAAGGCTATCTAAACAATGTGGACCCTGTGCCACAGCTCTGCTGTGTCCCAAAATTGTCCTGTGTATGCAGTCCTGTGTAGACAAGCCTCACAGGTAGCATTACTAGAAACAAGGTAATGTGAATGAGTGCAGGATTTAGAGACCCACAGCCTTGGGTTAGAATCTTGGCCTCATCCTTTGGGTAGGGCATGAGCTTCAGTTCCCTCATCTATAAAGCAATGACATTGTAAGGAAGAAAATACTTTTCCTTTACCCTCTTTATTCTTTGACCAGGGCCTGGAAATTAAACTGACAAACTCAGGAGAATGTGCACAAAGGCCTTCAGAAGAAAGCAGTAAAGACCCTAAATAAGTAGTTAAATTTGGTGGATTCATATACAATTTCAACAAAGAGTGATAAATTATGAAAAAGTAATAAGACAAAGGAAAAGGGACTTGGATTTCTAGGGGTGGTAAATTGTGAGCGAGTAAATATATGAGAAAAACTAACAGAAAACAAGGGTGACTACAGTTAGGTTTGTTTACACTGACCTATCTGCATGCTAACCTTCTCTCTCCAGTGATATATAGTGGTTGTTCTTCCCCCTCCAGGTATGAAGTAGGAGGAGGGGAAGACCTTCACACACAAAAAATTTACAAACTGCTTTTAGGAAGATACAGGGAGAGTGTGCTGCTTCTTAACTGCCTTCAGCTCAAAACAATCTCCATGCTAAGGCGATACAGTTCAAGGTGGCATGTTTCTATTTTCTCCAATGTCAGCCCTGCTGATCAGAGATTGGGATTAGAAGTGATTGTGTGTATGGTATCTAACAAAGGGCAAGTACTCACTTAATGCCGCTGATGCCACTGTAGCCTCCCCAGCTCTGCCATTCACTGTGGGAAATTTATTTTTAAAAAATATTGACATAGGTGCTAAAGGAAAATTCTAGAATGTCCTCATAGGGTTTTCAGGTATTCTCTCACCAAACTTAATGTTAACCTCTTAATCAAATCATAACCCACAGCATTGCTGAGTTTTGCTTAGAAAGAAAAGAGGGCATGTGCCTCCCTGGAGGTGTGCCTGTTCTTTTTGTTCTTACCTTGCCCTGAGTCAAGCATGCTTGAATCACCAATCTCTTCTCACTCTCTTGTCATCTCAGCAGAGGCAGGCCAAGTCCTCAGCAAGACAACTTCTTTTTGCAAAAGTTCTGCTCCTCAGGAAAACCTGGTTTCAAAAGAAAGCCATATGCCAGTCCCCTGGAGGACAACATTTATAGACACAAACCTTCAAGAAATACGTGAGAGAGAAAGGAGCCCTGCCTGGCACTTCCAAATCAAGTGAGCAGTGCTCTTAAAGAGCAGTTGAAAGAAAACAGAGGCTACTGTCATTCCCACACCTGATCCTGAATTCAAAGAAAAGATTGTGTCTGATGCGTTAACAAAGGTGAGAAGTTGGCCAAGAGGAAAGGAGAGGAAGCTTCTCAAACCTCAACCCAGCCCAGCTGAGGAGTGAGTGCATCATGCAGCTGCCAAGCCCCATTCAGAACACACTTCAACACCCATGTCAGCACAGCTCTCCAGGCCTCCCTTTCCTTGCAACAGGGCCATGAACACAACAGGGCCATATCCAGGGATGTGCCCAACAACCACAGCTACACCATGCTCTGGCACAAACAAATAGAATGAAAAATAATTTTGGCTCAAGACTCAATTCTCTTTCTTCATATATATCTGAACAGCAGCCATATATATATATATATATATATATATATATATATATATGTTGTGATACTATATATATACAAATTTGAAAAGTCAAATTTTAGTTGATGTTAATATTTTAATTAACACACACACACATATACATAAATATATAGTGTCACAACATTAGCTCCATACCAGGCTCCAAAATACCTTTGAGTTCAAAAACATTTCCATGGAGGAAGCTCCATCAGGAGAAAAACAAGGTAGTACAAGGCTTCTTTCTGCCTTGATTCAGAGGTCATCTCTCTTAGAAACTGACACAGACCCAGTCTGTCACCCAGACACCATCTGTTCATCACCGCCACCTCCAATCATTCAGCTCAGTGTTTGCATGTTAAGGCATTTGTTTGGAAAACCTCATGTTCTCTTAACAGGTTTTAATTGAGAGTAGTAGGGTTGAAATTCCAGTACTTGTGATATGAGGTTGTTGCATCATCTCCCCACATTCAAATATAGTCAAACAATTCATTAAGGAAAAATGGCAGATAAGAGGCAGGACTAACAACTCCCACTCAGACCCACATCATCAACTTTTGCTCCAATACTTACCACAGGAACATACCAGGAAAGTTGAGAGAATCCAAAGACCCTTTGAAGTAGGTGGATTGCTGCTTCAGGCTCTATGGGACAGCTGAGGCACTGTGCCCCAGCTTGCTTTCTCAGCTGGGAGTCTGGTAGCCTGGGGCAAGTTCTCAGCCCTGCTCACTGGCTGCCTGGAAATAAACTCAGTGCTGTTGAGGGGCCACAGTGGGAGTAAAACTGGCTTTTCAGGTTGTGGGCTGTGTAGGAGCTGGGTGAGGCCAGTGGCTGCTGGTTTTCCCTCACTTCCCTCAGACCTTTGTGACATAGCGGAGGCAGCCACAACCCTCTTGGGAACATAACTCCAATTGTTGGAACCGAGTGAGTACGAAATCACCACTGAGACAAAGACTAGGCCAAACTGCAGGGTCTTTATTGCCAGTAGCCATGGAGGACTCGCATCTCTCTAACCCGTGGCCTGAAAGGAGGGTGTCAAGACATTTTATGCCCATAAACCACCTCCTGGGAGGGGGTGAGGGTGAGAGGCTTTGGACATTCCGAGGGCCATGGGACTTTCAGGGGACTTTGAACATTCCGTAAACCACCTTGTGGGCGGGGGTGAGGGTGAGGGGCCTCGGACATTGTGAGGGCCAGGGGACTTTGGACATTCCGATTATTACTTAAGTGGTTCACAGAAGTCAAGATAAGTGTTAGTTTACACACTGTCTGGGTAGGGTGGAAAATTACAGACCTTAGTTATTACTAGTCTTAGTTTTTCTTAAAATGGCACAGGGGCCAAAATGTAATTGGTTTGGACTGCTTGCCTGTCACATTAGGGTTACAGAGAGCAGTTTCAACGGAAAGCCGAGGTATGTTTGAGGTATGCAGTTTATGGGGCAATTACCATGTCAAACAATGGCCTGGAAACCATACCCTCATCCCCCACAGCAGCCACAGCAAGCCCTGTCCAAGGGGAGTCTGAGCACAGACATGCCTAACCCTGCCCCACCTGGTGGTCTTTCTCTAGACCTGGTAGCAGAAGACAAACGGCGTAATCCCTTACAAGCTCTATGGCCCTGCCCACTGCCTGAGAAATCTGAATACTGAACCAGCCCACCCTAGGGCAAGTTTGCTTCCTCCCTGTAGTATTGCAGCTAATGCATTCTTGAAAGCGCCACCTCCTGGCTGGAGGCCAACTAACACAAAGCCAGCACACTAAACAAAAATACAACCAAAGACCCTCACAGGGTCCGTTTCATTCCCTGCTACCTCTACCAGAGCAGGTGCTGGTATCCATGGCTGAAAGACCTGAAGACAGATCACATCGCAGGACTCTTTGCAGACACTCTCCAGCACTATCCTGGAGCCAGGTAGCTCCACTGGGTGGTGAGATCCAGAAGAAAAAATAACAATCACTGCAGTTCAGCTCTCAGGAAACCCCATCCTAGGGGAAATGGAAGAGCACCACGTCAAGGGAGCACCTTGTGGGACAAAAGTCAGGGGGAACAGCAACCTTGAGTTCCCCCTGACATAGTCTACTCATATGAGAAGGAACCAGAAAAGCAATTCTGTTAATATAACAAAACCATATTATTTAACACCCCAAAAAGATCACATTAGCTCACCAGCACACCAGCAATGGATCCAAGCCAAGATGAAATATCTGAATTGCCAGAAAAAGAATTCAGAAGGTTGGCTATTAAGCCAATCAAGGAGGCACCAGAGAAAGGTGAGATCCAGCATAAAGTAATAAAATATATAATACGGGATGTGAATGGAAAAATCTCCAGTGAAATCCCGGAGTGCTGGGATTGCAGGCTTGAGCCACGGTGCCTGGCCTTCTTTCCTGCTTTTTCAGGAGCTAGGCTGTGATTCTTGGGATGCAGAGGGAGTTGATTAAGTCTATTATATATTTTATGTACCTATTATTTAATATGGGAAGTTCATGTATATGTTCTTAGGCAGCATGTGTTTTCCCCCACTTCTGAAGCAAATTGTGCATTACTTATACTCAGAAAGAAAGAAGAACCGAGGCAGAAGAAAGAATTTCAGAGCTCAAAGCAAGTCTTTTAAATTAACCCAATCTGACAAAGAAAAAAGAATTTTAAAAATTAAACAAAGCCTCCAAGAAGTTTGGGATTATGTTAAACAACCAAACCTAAGAAGAATTGGTGTTCCTGAGGACGAAGAGAAATCTAAAAGTTTGGAAAACATATTTGAGGGAATAATTAAGGACAACTTCCCTAGCCTTGCTAGAGATCTAGACAGCCAAATACAAGAAGCTCAAAGAATACCTGGGAAATTCGTACCAAAAAGATCACCTATGCACATAGTCATTAGGTTATGTAAAGTCAAGACAAAGGAAAGAAATTTAAGGGCTATGAGGCAAAAGCATCAGGTAACCTATAAAGGACCTATTACATTGACAGCAGATTTCTCAACAGCAACCCTACAAGCTAGAAGGAATTGGGGTTTTATCTTTAGCCTCCATAAACAAAACAAGTATCAGCCAAGAATTTAGTATCCAGTGAAACTAAGCTTCATAAATGAAGGAAAGATACAGTCTTTTTCAAAGAAATGTTAACAGAATTTTCTGCTACTGAGCTGGCAATACAACTGCTCAAAGGAGCTCTAAATCTTGAAACAAATCCTCAAAATACACCAAAATAGAATCTCCTTAAAGCATAAATCTCACAGGACCTATAAAACAACACAATGAAAAAAACCCAAATTATTCAGGCAACAAACAGCATGATGAATAGAATTTGATCTCAACATCTCAATACTAACCCTGAATGTAAATGGCCTAAATGCTCCACTTAAAAGACACAGAATGTCAAAACGGATAACAATTTACCAATCAAGTATCTGCTGTCATACAGCATGGAATACTACTCAGCCATCAAAAGAAATTTTAACAAATGACATTTGCAGCAACCTGGATGGAATTGGAGACTGTTATTTCAAGTGAAGTAACTTAGGAATAGAAAACTAAACACCCAATGTTCTTACTCATAAGTGGGAGCTAAGCTACAAGGATGCAGAAGCATAAGAATTGTACAATGGACTTTGGGGACACAGGGGAAAGTGTGGGTGGGAGGTGAGGGATAAAAGACTTCACATTATGAACAGTGTACACTGCTCAGGTGACGGGTGCACCAAAATCTCAGAAATTACCACTAAAGAACTTATTCAAGTAACCAAACACCTCCTGTTCCCCAAAACCTATTGAAATAAATAAAAATAATTTAAAAAATACAGTCATACATAGCTTAACAACTAAGATGTGCTCTGAGAATCAGACTAAATCATAAGTGATTTAGTCATTGTGTGACACCATAGAGTAGACTTACACAAATGTAGATGGTATCGCCTAAGACACAACCAGGCTATATGGTGTAGCCTGCTTTTCCCAGGCTACAAACTTCTGCAGCATATCACAGACTGAACACTGCAGGCAGCTGTAACACAATGGTAAGTTTGTGTGTATCTACACGTATCTAATCATCAAAAAGGTACAATAAAATGCAGTAATATCATCTTACGGGACCACCATTATACATGCAGTTGGTTCATCATTGATTAAAATGTCATTATGTGGCAAATGACTATATAATTCTACTTTCAGTGTCTACATCAGCTGTTCTTCATTTGTGTTGCTGGGAATACAAGTTTCAACAGATACTTCAGAAAGAGGTAGAGGGAGGGACAGAGAGGTGAAAAGGAGAGAGTTAGAATAGAAAAGAATTATATTTTCTTTCTCAGAAATTCAGTTGTAATATTTGCATGGTAAAGGTACTGAGAAATCCTGTGCTAAAGAAATCTGTTTAACTGAAACATACCTGATTACATTACACTAAAACACCCCTTTTTGTTTTCATAGCACTTCCAAATAGAGGAAAATCAGAGACCAATTAAAACCAAGAAGTTGAGAAGGGGCTGGCAAGATGGCTGAACAGGAAAAGCTCCAGTCTGCAGCTCCCAGTGAGACCAATGCAGAAAGTGGGTGATTTCTTCATTTTCCTTCTTTTTTTTTTTTGAGACGGAGTTTCGCTCTTATTACCCAGGCTGGAGTGCAATGACGCAATCTCAGCTCACCGCAACCTCCGCCTCCTGGGTTCAGGCAATTCTCCTGCCTCAGCCTCCTGAGTAGTTTGGATTACAGGCATGTGCCACCATGCCCAGCTAATTTATTTATTTATTTATTTATTTTTGTATTTTTAGCAGAGATGGGGTTTCACCATGTTGACCAGGATGGTCTAGATCTCTTGACCTCATGATCCACCCGCCTAAGCCTCCCAATTTCTACATTTTCAATTGAAGTAACAGGTACCACTGACTGGTTAGACAATGGATGCAGCCCAGAGATGGCAAGGAGAAGTAGGGCAGGGCATTGCCTCACCCGGGAAGTGCAAGGGGTTGGGGAACTCCTTCCCCTAGCCAAGGAAAGCTGTAAGGGACTGTGCCATGAGGAACTGTGCTATCCAGCCCAGATACTGTGCTTTTCCCACAGTGTTTGCAACCCACAGACAAGTAAATTACCTTGGTGCCTACACCACCAGGTACCTGAGTTTCAAGCACAAAACTGGGCAGCCATTTGGGCAGATATACCAAGCTACCTGCAGGATCATATTTTCATACCACAGAGGTGCCTGGAACACCAGCATGGCTGAACTGTTCACTCCCCTGGAAGTGGGAGTGAAGCCAGGGAGCTGAGTGGTATTGCTCAGTGGATCCCACCCCCATGGAATCCAGCAAGCTAGGATCCACTGGTTTGAAATTCTCACCACCAGCACAGCAGTCTGAAGTTGATCTGGGGCACTCCAGCTTGGTTGGAGGAGGGGCATCCACCATTACTGAGGCTTGAGTAGGTGGTTTTCACCTCACAGTGTAAACAAACCTGCTGGGAACTTCAAACTGGGTGCAGAACCCACCCCAGCACTGCAGAGCCACTATAGCCAGACTGTCTCTCTGTATTCCTCCTCTGTGGGCAAGGCATCTCTGAAAGAAAAGCAGCAGCCCCAGTCAGGGACTTAGAGATAAAACTCCCATCTCCCTGGGACAGAGCACCTGGGAAAAGGGGTAGCTGCAGGCACAGCTTCAGCAGACTTAAGTGTTCCTGCCTTCCGGCTCTGAAGAGAGCAGCAGATCTCACAGCACAGCACTCAAGCTCTGCTAAGGGACAGATTGCCTCCTCAAGTGGGTCCTTGACCTCTGTGCCTCCTGACAGGGAGACACCTCTCAGTGGGGTCAACAGACACCTCATACAGGAGAGC